CAGGGATAGGAAGTAACTCGTTACTTGTAACGAAGTTACAGTTAGAGTTACTTTTTTTCGGTAACTGTAACTTAACTTCGTTACTTTCTTTCCATCTGTAATTATAACTTAACTTAGTTACATCTTTTAAGTAACTAGTAACTAATTTAATAGTTACTTTCATAGTTATTTTATATATTTTAAACTTATTTGTCAATTTAGTGTGCGGTAGTTCCATTTGACGTTGCAAATACTTCGAAACATTTGATTAATCAGAAGAAAGAAATTTAATTAAAGCGTTCAATGAACTCTTGTCTTGTTTGGTTTATATTTTTGGATCTAATGGAATCCGCCAATCAAATACAAGAGCGCTCAGAGAACGGTTGTAGGTGCACTAAATGCACTTGATCAGTGATCACTGAGCCGTTGTTTTCTGAACGCAATCACGTAACCCATACATGTTGCTGCGTGTTCGGGTATTCCTTCATGTTTTCTACGTGACTGGTAACGTGCTACAGATTGGATAGTGATAATACGCAGTTCACAGTGTTTACACACACACACATACGCATACGCATACGTGCACACGCACGGAGAGAGAGAGAGAGAGAGAGAGAGAGAGAGAGAGAGAGAGAGAGAGAGAAGGAGGGAGGGAGAGGGAGAAGGAGAGGGAGAGCGAGAGCGAGAGCGAGAGGGTGAGAGAGAGGGGAGAGGGAGGGAATTGTACACTGTTAATCAGAGATATCAGTGTGTTACTGATATTAGAGTGAAATTCGTGAAATTGTAAGAAACAATTATATTCCTGTTTAAAAAACTGCGATTCTTGACTTGACTATCAGACACTCTAATACCTAATACCGTACACTAAAAAAAAGTTTCACGTATAATTTTGGGACCTACTATTAAAGGTATGTATTTATGCACGTAAGTAAAGTTACAACTTATAGCTTACATATAAAATTATTCAGTACTTATTTAGAATGCCCTCCTAGCCTCAAATCTTTTTAAAAATGTATTAATTCGTTGTATATTCATTAGGTCTGTTTACGTAGCTTGTACTTTTTGCACTCAGCATTTTCGCTTTCTCTCTTTTCAACGCCCAAATATATATCTATCTCATTTTAAGTTTAAAAACTTTTGGGGATTTCAAGTGTAACGCGAATAGATCTACTCATAACGACAAATCTGACAGAAAAACGCGGCGGTCTGCCTAGCAAAACAAATTATTAAGCATTAAAAAAGTTCGAGACTTCAGAGATTAAGATATCTCTCATAACATTTTCAATTCAAGAAGATAGCAACGAATTAATAATATGTGATAAGAGAAAATAATTAATATTGTGAACCGAGATAAATTATAATTCTCTATGTATAATTTTATTCACCGTTTTATGTTTTCTAGTTAGACTTACTTATTTTTAACTTCGATAATACTTAATAGAACTTAATACGAAGTCGAACCGTATATTTTGTTTATATAAGTTAAATTATTATTAAGAAATTAACATTAAACAGCTTGCTTTGACTCCTAGCTCCTTAATTTATAATTTGATTATTAAAATTTTATTGAGCCTTATAGATTTGTTTTTCATTTTATAATTGAGGTCAAGTTTATAGAAATATTTACGCTGATGAATTATTTCCAATTTTTTCTAATAGCAAATTCGATTAGACGCATTCAGTACACACTGGTTCACATTAAAATATAATTTATGTCGTACATAAATTATAATGTAAAGAGATATATGCTTATTAATCTTATTATGTACATAGAAATCGGTACCGTGCAATTCTCATTTTTACACATATTTATGTTATTTACACTTTTTATTTAAAATATATCTATATTTGTACAAAAAATATCAAAAAATTATTGTTTATTTTTATAATTTAGAAATGAAGAGTCGCAAACAATGGACAAGGAGGCATCTGAATCTCCGAATAAAGGTAAAAGTAGTAAAATGCCATGGCCAGCATATGCAGAGATATTTGAATCGGTACCGTGCAATTCTCATTTTTACACATATTTATGTTATTTACACTTTTTATTTAAAATATATCTATATTTGTACAAAAAATATCAAAAAATTATTGTTTATTTTTATAATTTAGAAATGAAGAGTCGCAAACAATGGACAAGGAGGCATCTGAATCTCCGAATAAAGGTAAAAGTAGTAAAATGCCATGGCCAGCATATGCAGAGATATTTGAATTTCAAAAAAAATTTAGAAATGATAAAAATTTGGAATTTTTGTGCAAAATTTGCATCAACAAGAAAATCATACATGCAAACAAAACTTCTACTTCCAATTTAAGAAAACATATGAATGTAAGTCTTCTTTATTAATATGTTTTTTTATTAACACAAAATTGTTACTATTTGCATGAATTGTTGTCTACGAAATATTTATAATAACATAAATCAAATATTTTGTACACGACAATTTGTAAGTAGCAGTTAATATGTTTGATTTGTGATACTGAAGATGACCAGATATATGATCGAAACGTTTATCAAGATATATGTAAAGTAAATTAATATATTTATTGCACGGTCACCCTGCGTTGGCTTTTACGCTCCTTTTTCGTTCAAATTTGATTTTTTTTTTAATTAAACTTAGATTTCCATGGAATCTTTTAAGTTATGTGAAATATTCAACCTTAAATTAAATATACATACAATAGTAGGTATAAAAAATTAAAGCTGGAACAAATGAATGTTTTTAATTTAAACAATTTCTGATTATAATATTTGTAGGCAAAACATCCACACCTCTTGGACACCATAGATAAAAACAAAATTAAATTGTCAAAGAAACGTCCAAATGAAGATTCTGTAAATAATATTCCAAATAAACATCATACATTGGAAAGATGGGGCGCTGGGAATTCAATCGCTACTCAGAAAGGACTAGATAAAGCAATATTACAGTTTATTATTGAAAATATTCAACCTCTTTCCATTGTAGATAGTCTATCATTTATCAATTTGATTAGAATTGGACTTCCTTCACATATCAATATAATGTACAGAAAGACATTAAAAGAAAGACTTTGTCAAATGTATCATAGAATGAAGAATGCCCTAGAAAAAAAGTTGACAGAAATAGAAATAGTTGCGACAACGGCAGATTTGTGGAGCAAAGGAAAAAGGTATATGTGTAACTTATATTAATAAACTCTGTTGAGAGAAATGGCCAAAAACGAACTAACAACAATGGATATTAAAATAATATTGATTAAATTTAATGTATCAAATAAATTAAAAACTTAAGCGAAACTACTTTGTAGTACATATACATTATTGTGTGTGTTTAATATTTCGTTAATTAAAATTTATATTTGTAGAAGTTACTTAGGAATGACTGTACACTGGATTAATCCTGAAACTTTAGAAAGAGAATCGGCTGCACTAGCTTGTCGCAGGATAAAAGGCAAACATACATACGACGTTTTAGCTCAGGCAATTAATTCAGTCTTTCTCGAATACCACATCCAAAATAAAGTATGTGGTACAACAACCGATAACGGATCAAATTTTGTTAAAGCTTTCCAGTAAGTTTATGGTTATATATTTTATATACTCTTTAAAAAATTTGTTTACATTATATTTTTTATATATTAATATAATTTATATAAAAGATTGTTTTAATTGATACATCTATATAATTAATATAAATAAAATATAATTAAATACTAAAAATGTAATTAAATAAAGTATAATTAAACATAAGAGATATTTTAATGTAATTTATAAATAAAAATTATAGAAGTTTCCAGAAGGATGAAGATGGAAAATATATTAGTACAGAATTTCATAGTCTAAGTGATCTTTTAATTACTGACGATGTGGAAAATATAGATCCAGAAAATTCATTTATTCTTCCACCACATCATAGATGTGCGAGTCATACATTGAATCTTATAGCAGTAAAAGATTCTGATAAAGCTTTAGACAATAATGCTATATATAAAAAGAAATATAAAATAATATTCGCTAAACTAATAAAACTTTGGAATAAGCAAAATCAGTCAACACGAGTAGCTGATAAAATAAAGAAAATTTGTGGTGTTTATTTAAAAACTCCTGTAATTACCAGGTAAGAAGATTTTTTTACTGCAAAAGATAGTGGGTGTATTCCGAACCGGATTAGCTTAGCTTATTTTTTTCTTTAGACGTTGACAGTTCCGTAACTAAACCGAGCAGTGTTCCAAATCCATTGGCCATCAAACTCAGCTACTGACTTCTATTGGTTATGAGTTATGACAGCCGACGAGTTCGGAACACTTCTCAATTTAGTTACGCAACTACCAACATCTAGGGGAAAAAATAAGCTAAGCTAACCCGGTTCGGAATACACCCAGTAAATAAGAGATCGATATAGTTTTAAGACTGCCCTTATGGAAAAAGACACTGAAAATTTAAAAAAAAACACTGAAAATGCTATAGTTTACATTACGTGCACTATAGATTTTGAGTGTTAACACCTAATTTTCAGTGTTTTTTTGAAATTTTCAGTGTCTTTTTCCATAAGGGTGGTGATTGGTGTAATGCTTTTATCAGTGTGTCGATTGGATAATAAACATTAGGCCTTTTTCATCAGCTCTGATTACAATTTTGAAACAAAAATTGATTGTGAATATTGGCCTTAGATTGAATAAGTTTTATATTTACTATCATCAAATATTAATCGTATTCGTTGAAACATTAATTTCTACTTCTCTTCGCGTTTTTATATTTATTATTAC